AAATGTTTTACTTGTGATGACTGCACACCTGTGCCCTGTGACCCGCACGCTCCACAAACGGCACTCCAGGAGCCACAGCATGCTGTCCCTGTCCTAACTACACCTGAGACAACTTCATTCCTCGGCTCAAGAGAGAAAGCATTTCCTACAAATTATGTCCCCCTTCAAGTATCTTGCAGTGCCTGTTTGCTTCCAGGTAAATGTGAGCTGAGTTTATGTTTCTAGGGTAGAAACACAATCAGGTGGGGTTGGTTTGAGATACCTGACTTAATTCTCATTTATTTTGTGCCAAATTAGAAAAAAAAAAAATGTCCTTGTTATCCAGAATTACATCTATCTTTGGGTCAAAATAACAGACAGAAGAAAATAACTCAGAAAGAAGAGCAGCTGGCTGGGCTGGCACGGGCCGCGGGCGGCGTCTCACCTGTTCTCGCAGTACTGCCCGTAGTGGCTGGGCCCGCACTCGCACGCGTAGCCCCGCGGGGAGCCTGGGGAGTGCACGCAGGCCGCCACGTGCTCGCAGGGGTTCAGGTGACACACGTCCACACACTTCCTTCCAAAGTACCCTGCGGGGACAGGCCAGCATGACCTCCACCCAGAATCTGCGAGGCCCTCTACGTTAAGATTTCTCGAGCAATCTGTTGCATCCCCAGGACTTGACTTTCCCTGCTCCTCAGTGGGGGGGACAGGTGGAGGGCCTCAGAGCCACCGGAAGCACAAATGTTAGGTGGGCTCGACTTAAAAACACAGAGGAAGGTCTTCTCAGGCCACCCTGGGAGGGTGGGAGCCGTGAGGGCAGGGGGTCCTGGCCACCCCAGGACACACGGGGCACAGGTACCAGCTGAGGATGACTTCAGCACCTCAGGAGTCCAGAAGTGACCACTGAGTGTCTGATTTTTAAAATGTGGACTTTACACTGATTCTTTGGCTAATCCCCTCGTGTATGAGGATGAAGCCTGGGGCGTTTGAGGCACAGGAATCCACTGTAAGAACAGGGGGCCCACTCTTTAGTTATAAGGCGAGGCTCAGGGCTCCACAGACCCAGGGAGAGTCCATGGGGCAGCCGATGCCCAAACCAGGCTTCCCTCGCTGTGCTGAAACCATGGAAGGCATCACCTTCCACCAACAGGCACAGGAAGAGGGATCCGGGCCCACCTTTGTCACAGATGCAGGAGTAGCCATCCCAGGCGTCGTGGCAGCGGCTGTGCTGGGGGCAGGGGCTCGAGGCACACGGGTCCTCCACATCACAGCCGTCCTTCACCCTGACCTTGAGGGCATCGTTCATGTTCAGGGTGGCAATGTTGGTGGACGTCTCCCCCATTCTCACTCCCTGTGTTACAAAAAGGGCAGCTGGATTCAGTCGTGGGGCGTTGCGGCTGGAGGAACCCCGAAAAGTAAATGGGAGTTAAAAGACCCCCAAATTCTCTTCTGTCCCTTGTAGACACCTCATATATCTAAAGAGCTGGGACCGGTGGGGCCACCCCAGCAGCCTGGGTAGTCAGAGCACAGTGGACAGTGGGCAAGGAGCTCAGAGAGCACAGGTGAGGAGCTCATGTCCCTGCAGTGGGGGGCTGTGGGCGGGGGTCTGTGAGCGGGGCTGTGAGCAGAGCTGCTTCACAAACAGCTCACTCAGCCACTGCTGCAACACCTGGTCCAGGGACAAGCACGGGACTCATTGGATAAGTGTGAGGGGTTGGACCAGGTGGGCATGGTGGTGGTGGTGGTGAGGGGCTGCATTCAGGACAGGTCATGAGGACAGAGCAGTAGGTGCCTGATTGCAACATGGTGGTGGGGGGCGTGGGGCCTGGGGAGCCACTGGGGTCCACGGGGAGCCATGGGGGAGGATGGGGGTAAGGTGGAAATAGGAGTTAAGGCTGGGCTGCCTCTTAGACAAATTATTAGTTTACTGAGAACGAGCCGGCAGCCCCCGAGCCAGCCCAAGGCGTGGGCTCCCACGCTGCCATACCTGCATGCAGCCCCGGAACCCGCGGCGCACGGACACCTTGTCCTCAGACACGCCCCCAATGACGATGCTCCTCATCTTCAGCCCGGGAAGCTGGTTCCCAATCTGCACCGTGTTCTGCGCAGAGAGAGGGGAGGAGCTTCTTCCACCATTCTGGAAGCATCTTCAGATGCTGGGTAGGACATGCTCAAAGTCTAATAAAACAGTTGCTTTGACAACTCCCCTGAGGACATTCAGGCCTCCAGAGAGAGGGCAGGGCTGGACCAGGCTCAGCCTTCTTCGTGGACAGGGTGGCTGTCTGTGAGTGACAGGCAGGGCCCGGGAACACCTCCCCCAGCTGGTCATGGGCACATCACTGAACGAGCCATGGCCTGGGAAAGAGCTTGGTAAAATAGGAAGACAACAGCAACAGATACGCAACTGCTCTTCCACGGGCTGGGAATCTGAGCAAGTCTCGGCCGGATCCCCAGTCCTGGGAAGGCGTGGACTTGGGACACTAGAGCCTTTTATTCTCAGAACTGTGCACAATAAGCCTCGACTCCAAGAGTTCTTAGCAATCACGAGTAGCCCCCTAAGTGTGTGAGTGTCTTGTAAAAAATGCCTTACGTTACCTGGTGTGACCTGTGGAAATCCAGTCTGGGTCCACAAGCATTCTCAGTGTGCCCTGTTTGGAACACCATTCACCCACCTGGGACAGGGCACTGCCCTGGTGTCCCAGCCCCCTCTAAGACCTGGGTCTCACTGCTCACCCAGCCTCACTCGCTGTCACGCTACGTGGGCATGGACCCTGTGTTTTCCTCTCTGTGCTCCCAGAGGCACAGTGCTGAGCAGACAGTCACCACTCAACACGGCTTATTAAAAGTCGTCTGCTGAGGGCGCCGGCGGCACCGTGATAGGAAACACAGGTGGACACGTCCAGCTCCCGACGGCAGTAGCTGGCCACTGGAGGGGGATGAGACGCAGACGCCAGAGACCTCAGCATGAGGTGGAGGTGAGACCCAAATGCGGGGTGCCTGGAAAGCGCTCCCCAAATGTACGTGTGTCTGGTGGGTGCTGGCCCGTGGAGGGGTCATTCTGTTTCCCCGTGGGCTGGACGAAGGGTCTGTTGGAGAGAGGGTACAGGCGCCAACTCACCTGGTCCATCCCGTAGTCCAAGGTCATGACTGCCAGGTACCTGATGTCCTTGCCCTCCTTGGCACTCTTCAGTTCTATCAGCAGGTGGTGCCACTCCCCATCAGTCACACGTGACCTGGACAGCCTCATGGACGCCACATCAGAGGGGCCGTGGGACACCTCGAACTGGACGTGGCTGTTCAGGATCTGCAGGGTGGGGAGAGCCACACCTACCGATTGGTGCCATGGCGACAAATGGGAAACGCCTTGCAGTGACTTACACGACGAAGCCACACAGACTTACAACGTGGCCCTGGATCAAAGACGGGGTGAAAGTTGGGCAAAGTTTTAATTCGTTGTTGCTGCCTTTAGTACTCTCAGAATCGTGCGTCTTTGTCTGCAGTGAAAAGTTTCAGATGCTTGATGGAGGTCAAGTAAACTGAGGACTGAGAACAAGCCCCGTCAGACTTTTAAGTATTGGAAACCATCCCAGATTCACGTGACTATTGGGGTCTTAGTTTTGTATGTAAATGTCACACTTTATGAGAAAAAATTCAATCCACCATATTTAATTACACGTGTGGGAAACAAAGAAGTCATCATTGCAACTGACCCAAGATGCTGACATTTTAAAATAACGTAGCGGGGGCGATACCAAGGTCTTATTTCCCTAATGAGGGACTGGGTAATTCGGACCAACCCTCCTCCTGAGGACACCTAAAAAACTGAGACAAAATATTAAAGAACATCTGTTTGAAGGCATCGGAGTGACTCAAGGAACAACAGAGCTACAGGGTCATGACCAGGGAGAAAATGGAAATCTGTGCAAGTGACTCGGCGTTTGCTTTCCCCTGTGGGCGTCGGTGGTTCTGGAAGACACAACTGAGGCTGAGAAGCTCAGCAAAGCCGTCGAGGCTCCTGGGGCAGTGGGCATAAAACTGGAGCTCAGGACCTGCCGAGGGTCTCTGGCTTTTGTTTGGGGCCCTGGAGGGCTGTACACACTAAGAGTAAACTAGAAACAGACCAGCTCTTGCAGACACAGACGCCCAGCTTTGAATCTTCTCCATCAGCGGCTGTTTTACAGTGTTCTGGGACAGCTGATGACCCGAAGGCTGCCAGAAGCCAACACGGAGCTTAAGGACACCCTCATCCTGGTTTCAGATTCTCTCTAGTTTCTCAATACGATGTCTAGCACTCCATAAAAAGTAACCAAGTATACGAAAAGAGAAGTCAGTGTGCTTCAAAACCAAGAGAAGCAGGAAAAGTGGAAACAGACCCACAGGGAAAACAGATAGTAGAATCATCAGACACAAACTTGAAAATGACGAGAACCACAGAACTTTCAAAGAAACAGACTCAAGTGACTTGAAAATGACGAGAACCACAGAACTTTCAAAGAAACAGACTCAAGTGACCGTGACTCTTATTTCTGGGTGGCAGTGTTACATTTCATGAGATAAGAGTTGACCTATCGTGTTTAAATACAAGTCAGAAAAATCAGAAAACAATTCTAACTAACCTAAGATACTCGTAGTTAAAGATAAGTTCAATTAAGAAACAGATGATATTTTTAAAAAACTATTAATGCATTGCTTAAAAGAGTGCATTACCGTGACTCTTATTTCTGGGTGGCAGTGTTACATTTCATGAGATAAGAGTTGACCTATCGTTTTTAAATACAAGTCAGAAAAATCAGAAAACAATTCTAACTAACCTAAGATACTCGTATTTAAAGATAAGTTCAATTAAGAAACAGATGATATTTTTAAAAAACTATTAATGCATTGCTTAAAAGAGTGCATTATTGGGGCCGGCCCGGTGGCATACTGCTACAGTGCGCCGCTTGGGAAGCGTGGTGGCACTCCCACCGAGGGTTCGGATCCCACATACAGACCGGTTCCCGCTCACTGGCTGAGCGAGGTGCGGGCACAACACCGAGGGTTGTGATCCCGTGGCCGGTCCCGGTCCAGTACGGGCGCGACACTGAGGGTTGCGATCCGTTGCCGGTCACGAAAAAAGACAAAAAGACAAAAAGACAAAAAAAAAGAGTGCATTATTATATTTTATTGTGAAATGTAAGAATAAAGTGTTGAAAGTAAAACGACAGAAAAAGGTCTATCACATAAACACCAAAAGAAAGCTGGTGTAACTATTTTAATGAGACAAAGTAGACTTTAAGACAAAAATCATTACAAGACATAAAGAGGATTTTCATAATGATAACAGAGTCAACTGCCAGGAAGATAAAACAATTTTAAATTTGTATGCACCTAATAACATAGCCTCAAAATCTAGAATGTAAAAATTGAAAGATTACCAAAAGAAGTAATAGACAAATCTACAATCAAGGTGGGTAATCTTTAACCCACATCTCTCAGTAACTGAGACAAACGGACAAAAAAAAAGTCAATAATGATATGGAACATTTCAACATCACGGTTAACAAACTGCACCTGCCTGACACATAGAGCACGCTGTATGTCACGACTGCACCACATACATTCAAGTACAAATGGAACATACAAAAACTGACTAGATCTGGGCTGTAAAGCAAGTCCCAACACATTGCGAAGGTCTGAAATCATTTGCTGTACATTCTGTGACCTGTCATTATGCTAGAAACAATACCAAAAAGACTTACTAGAAAAATTTCACATGTTGGCAAACTCAGAAACATACTTCATACATACCCCATAGATCTAAGAGGAATTCATGCCAGAAAACAGAAGATATTATTAATGAATATAAAGATAATACAACTTACAATGTAGTTTGATTGCTGGCCTCCACCGATGGTCAATTTAAGAAGGCAATTTTTCACCTTTTTATGTTTCGTTGCCTTTTGTTCTACAGAAGTGTAAGTCAACTCATGAACGTCCCTTACCCTTCTCTTCCCTTGTCCTTGCTAACAAAACTCCAAAGCAAGCAGATCAACAACAAAAATGACATTATACCTATAAACAAAAGTGGTATCTGCAGAATAAAGCCCAGGACTATGGGCGGAAGTTGCCTCCCACGTCAGGGGATTTAAGAGAGGCATCGAGCGACGGCAAGGTTATCCCACCTGACAATGCAGGGGGATTTAGGCGCCTGACAGCAATGATCCAAATTGCTTGGGCTGTGGGATGATGATGTAGCCTCGTTCAGCCTGGCACACGGGGAACCTTTCAGGGACACCCGAACTGCTGTATCACAGAGCTCACAGGGCTGCAGCAGGCCTGGGAGATGAAAATATCAGGTAGAAATCCCCTAGAACATCCCTGTAATGCCTGGCTGACCAGCTTCTGGGAAGTGCCCTGGGGTGGCCTTCTGGGTGCCCACTGGGGTCTGTACGACCCCCTCAAGGCCACCCCTCTTGCCACCCATACTTCCACAGGGAGGGCTGGCTATAGTCCCGGGCAAAAACTCTAATTTTTGGAGGAGCCACTCATAACGTAATTACCCAAACAACACGGCGGTGTGCGGCCTTCAGTGCTCTTGCTACCGAAAGCGGACTTTTTTCCTACAGAGACCCCACTGCCAAATGACAGCTCGTGAGCTCCAGTTCATCACCTGAATCAAAAACAGCCAATTTAATTTGTTCCAACAGTGAAACAACCACAAAGAAAAATACCATCCCCGGGCAGAATTATGCTTGCCAAGTTTTGGCCCAGAACAAGCTTCTGGGACCGCCTGGTAAACTTGTGAAATTACGAGTTAATAAGGGAAACACGACAACAGCTGGAACAATCCCCGCTGCACACACCGTCCCTTCCATGTGATCTGAATGGGTCTGTGCTGGAAAACGCTCCCAAGCCATGACACGGGCAAGTGGGGGCAGGTGGAAGGAGAGAAGACGGCTTCCTGCCTGGGCGATGAGCCCCTCACCTGCCTTCTGGGGGCGGGGAGGGGCCTGCACTAACTGAACAGCTGAGGAGTCTGTGTCCGGCCAGCCCACTGGGGGTGCTCAGGGTCCTGCCCCCGCTGACCTCTGACGGGGAGCTCACAGGGGGTGAGTGGGTAGGGGTGCTGGGCAGCCCCTCTGTCCCCTCCCATGCCTTTTACAGATGGCATGTACGCACGTATGTGTTTCCAGATGGACTGCCCACAGGGGCGGTGGGAGAGGGCCCTGTGGCCCTCCCTGGAACCCAGGCAATGAGTCGACCACGGGGCCTGGAGTGTAGTCTCTGGCCTCAGTTTCCCCTGTGTAGAATGAGAGCTTGCAGCAAACCCGTGTAAGATCCACCTCACCTCTGACCATCTCTGATCCACCCCAACCTCCCCTGAATGGGAAATAAGTCCACTCTGCATGGGCAGAACAAAAAGTCTCAGGGCCCAGGGGAGTGAAATAAACAAAGCACAGCTCCATGACACATGCAGACAACTGAAGAGAGGGGACCAGAGCCAGCTCTGGAGGAGCTTCCCAACTGCGGGAGCCACTCCACCTGCAGGGGGTCACCTCGGCAGAACAAAAAGTCTCAGGGCCCAGGGGAGTGAAATAAACAAAGCACAGCTCCATGACACACGCAGACAACTGAAGAGAGGGAACCAGAGCCAGCTCTGGAGGAGCTTCCCAACTGCGGGAGCCACTCCACCTGCAGGGGGTCACCTCGGGATGACAGTGCCAAGTGCTCCCACGTGTCCTGGCCCCAGGGCAAGAGAACAGGGTGATCTGAGGGCAGCAGATGCTTAGTAGGGAGGGAGTCTTTGGTTCACTACGGTAGGAGGTGATGAACCACCTGTGTGAAGAAAGTCATGGCTGCTCCAGGACTGTGTGCACCTAGGTCCCGCCACACGCATGTGCACAGACACACAGACCTGCATGCGCGCACCACACAGACATGTACACACACATGCATGCATGTAGAGACATGCACACATAGACACACGCAGACATGCACACCTATGGACACAGACATGTGAACACACATCCATGTACATGCGTATACGTACTTGAAAAAAAGCCTAGAAGAAAGAAGGAAGCAATCCAGTTTTTGGAATTCCTTCCAACCCAGACAGTGTGCCTTGCTCAGGCACGACTCCTGCAGGCCACTCCCGCCGGGGTCAGGGGAGGCTAATGAGGTCTCAGAGTCAGGAAGTGAGCTTTCAGGAGGAAGCCATGCCAGGCGTGTTCTCTGAGCATGACCCTATCAGACAGGGGTCACAGGCCGCAAGGTTTACACCAGAACGTCTGTCCCCATCCCTGCAGACAGAAAGTGCCTGGAGACAGAGGGCAGGAGGATGCCCTCGGGCCCAGCGCCCACACGGGAGATCCCCGCAGCTGCCTGGTGGAGCAGGCTCCCAAGGGTGCGGCCGGGCACGGGCAGGCGGTGTGCGAGAAGCTGCGGGCACTTCTCACAAATTACAGAAACTCACAATTGTTTCTCAAACGACGCGCCTGTGGCGCCTGGAAGAAGTAAGTGGAAATTATTTATGACGCCAAAAAACCCCAAGAATAGAGGGCGCTGAAATCTTCATTATGAAGTTTTTAGGAACTCTCGCCCAGCATTTCAAACAGAACAGTAAAGACCCAAAAGATACAGAGAACACCACGTGTGAGGTGACACATCAGGGCTTTAGGAACCCTCTAGCTGAGCCAACCTCCTGCAAGCAGCCATGGTTTTAACCAGTGGAGGCCTGCTGGTTCCACTGAAGACCCTCGCCACCTGCTGTGGCTCTGAAATGCCCACCAACCTAGCCAGAAAATGGCCAAATCTGCGAGCTGGACAGACGAGAGCTGTCTCAAATGCGCCATGGCTGAGTTTCGCTGGTCTCAGGCTGTGCCCGGCCCCCCACTTACTCTCCCCATCCCCCAGTTACATGGGAGGAAAGAAAGGGCTGGAAAAGAGCCCCCACCCCACCCCCCATGGGAACCGTAGCCGCCCGCTATGACCCCTGCACCTTGCCCGTTGGGAATGGCGCGACTGTGCTGCCACTTGAGAAACCCGCTTACATTTCCCTCCTTTCCCTCTGGAGAGCCCATGGGCAGGCACAGGGAGAGGGCAGGTAGGTGCAGGTGCCCTCCTGACATGTGCCGGGGGAGCCTCTGCTTCCAGTGGGCGGTACTGCCCAGAGCCCTGTCCCCTTGCGTAGGTGCCTGCACACCCTGCCGGTGCCCAAGCAGCCTGTGGTCCTGCTCACCTGCAGATGGAGCCTGGAGGACGTGCCCGCGGTGGCCTCCATCAGCACGCCATCCTCCTTGCGGGTCCGGAACATGAGCCCCAGGTACCAGGGCACGGAGATGGTGATGTCCAGGTCGCTCCACGACACAACACTCTCTCCACTGAAGTGCTGGGGGTGGGGCATGGCTGGGGACACAGACCGGGAACCTCAGGTGCCTCCCCAAATCAGGGGGCCTCTGAGGACCTTTTTCAGCTGAGGGGAGGGGAGGGGGAGGGGAGGGGGATGGGCGGGGCCTTTTTCATTTTCACACGAAGGCCGCTCTCAGCCTTCCATCTGTGCCACGTGCAGCCCTCTAAAATCAGCAGCCTTGGGCTCTGCAGAAGCCCACCCCGGGACACAGTCACCTTTGTGGGAACAGGCAAGGCCTGCAGATCCCAACTGAGGTCAGGGTCTCATAAGGGGAGCTCAGGCTGGACGGGAGGCAGAGGGGGACCCCTGGGGCACTGGGGCGGGCCCATCAGCCTAGCCTACCTGTCCCCCCAACGCTCACAGGACTGGGGGGCCCGAGGGCAGGAGCAGGGGCTCTATGGAGGACAGGCAGCCCCTCGGTGAGGACGCTGAGGTATGCAGTAAACAGTACACGCATGTTCCTGCATGTGCACCTCAGATTCCACGGCCTGACCAGCTGTTGGCTCGTGTCTGGGGCGGGTTCCCAGCCCCCCAGGCCACTGTTTCTCTGCTCCTGGTGATGGGCACGGAGATGGAAGAGCTGGTGGCTAGCCAAGGACCCCCTGATGATTTGGGGGACCATGGAGGTAGCAATGGGGGGACAAACAGCCCTCCCCCAGTCCATTATGCTTGGAAAACCCATGGGCACAGGCAGAGCAGCAGGAGAGGCTGACATTGGGTCAGGCCCACTGCACCATGTCACCTCCAGACCCCGTCACTCCTCCAGGTGTGACTGGACAGTTATCACAATGAAATGTCACAGATGAGCCACCTGGGGGCTGCCTGAGGGGGGATCTCAGCATTGTGAGCACTGAGTGTCTGTTTCCTGCTCTTATGAACCCAAAATGCGGCAGCGTTTCCTTGGGCACAGCTGTAGTGGGGACGTGTGGCCTCTAACAGGAGCTCTCTGGATGGGTACAGCCCGCCTGGTGCTGCTGCCACCACTGCACTCTGAGCTTCCGGTACCCGTCGGGGCAGCCAGAGCTAGGCTTGACCCGTGTAGAGGGCCAAACATATAAAGAAACTAGCCCTGATATTTAAGCCTATGACACGGCGTACCCTCAATCAGTAAGTGACCAAGCCCTGAGCAGATGGACAGGACTGAGGAAGCCAGCCCTGCTCACCTGCCCCGCTCCTTCCACCTACATGGGCTGAAGGGAATCTCCCGCTGTGCTGCAGCTCCCACTCGGGGAAGGCCCTGGACCCCGCCAGTCCCCCCAGAACATTCATGCATTGACCTGGACAGGGACCCGCAGCACTCGTGCAGCGGGACAGGAACAGGCCGCCTCACACTCCCTTGGGTTTGGAGCCCAGTGGGCAGCTTCAGCGCAGGACTTTCAGAGCCTCTAACTCGCTAACGAGCACAGGGATCTCCGAAGTGCAGCCAGCGAGCAAGGCCAGACTGCTTCGCCTGAATCCTGCTCCTTTGGTTAACCTAACGCTTCAAGGGTGTCAACGATTTTCAAATGATGATACTAACACCGCATTGCTTCAAAATGAACTAAGTCTTACAACCTGCCAGCATCTATACTGCAGACTAGAGGCGGAAGGGGGGTACTCAGGACCCTTCCTTTACTCCCCACCACCAGTCTAATCAGCAAGCGGCCAGCTGGGGGCACCCTCTGGGATGGCAAATGGTGCCTGGGGAACTGCCCAGTGTGCCCCATGGCCCCCTGACCTCACGCTGCCCTGCTCAGAGAAGGTGCTGTGTCCTGCAGAGCCCGTCCTAGACCCTGGACCAATTTCACCTGCTGCGGTGCCCCCACGAAGCCTCTCAGCTTCTCAGCCCAGCCCACACCATCTGCGTGGCAGACACACAGGAGACACAGGCACCGCCAGGGGCTGCTGTCCCAGATGCGAAGCCCCTCCCGAGTGGTCCCGGGCACCCCGACATCCAAGAGTCTCTGGCAGGGGGCACGGACAACACCAGGCCCTCACCTTGCTCACAGTTCTTCCCGCCAAAGCGGAGTGGACACTCGCACAGGTAGGTGTTCCACCTGTCGACACAGGTGCCCCCATTCTGACACCAGGTCCCGTCACAGAAGCTCCTCCGAGCGGCACAGCCTGGCAACACAGAGCACACATGTGGTCTCAGCATGAGGGACAGGATGGAGCCTGACGAGGAGGCCACCGTTGTGGTTTCCCACACCCAGCCATGCGGGAACGGAAACGGCCAAAGAGTCAGGCCAGGTGAAGCCCTGTGGCAGCGGTAAGAGCAGGGGACCAAGGTGATGCAGAACGCTCAGCCCACACACGGAGACTCCAGGTCTCCAGGCCATCGTGGTAGCCGGCCTGGTCATCTGGTGACATGTCCAAGACCCTGGAACTGTGTGTGCCCCTGGGTCTTCTGGCCCAGCAGCTGGTGCCGAGAGCCACAGCAACCCCAACCTGCAAGACCCAGAGACCTCCAGAGCGGCATGTCTGGCGAGCCTGGGCCCACGCCCAGGAAGTGCCCACAGCGGGGCACACACACTCCTAGTAAAAACACAGCTCCCCAGGGATGTGCAAGCAGCCCTCCCAGGATGTCCAGCCCGCTGCTGCCGTGGCAGCCCCACACACCCCGGTGGCCGCCCGTACCTGCCCTGGTGCCATTGTTGGCGATGAAGCTAGCCATGTCCACGTTCCTGCCGTCAACGGACAGGTTCCGCATGCAGCCTACAAACTGTCGGTTGTGCACTGGGAAGTCTTCCGGCAGGTTGGGGACACCCCCCAGGAGCAGAGGGCCTGTCAGATCCAGGGACCTGGGGAGGCAAAGCCATCCTCTGTGACGTCAAGGCGTCACCACAGCCCCTGCCACCAGAAATGCTTTAATAACCAAGCAGGCAGGAATCAGCGTGCAAGAGGCCAGAATAAAAGGTGGATCCTGCTTCAGCTGCCGCCCTGGGCTCTTTACACTCTCTGTGCCTCAGTTTCCCCACACTTGCGTTACGTCCTGACAAACTGGCTGTTTCAGTTTAACCACTGAGTCCAGCCACCTCCCGGTCAGTCCACACCTAAACAGGACATGGAGTGCAGAGAGCCTGGCATTGCCCAACAGTGACTCCACCTTCCTCCAGCCTCCAATATCCTCCAGGAAAAGGAATGGACTTGAAGGAGGTCAAAAGGAAATGAGCCTTGGTACTGCCATGGGCGCTGGTGTGGCCCTGCACATGGGCTCTAATCTCGGAGGGCACCGTGCCACTCAATCCCAGTGGGCAGGGATTAGGTGAAACAGGCAGGTGACCGTCCCAGCCCAGATCAGATGCTCTGGATGTATCAGTTCCTCTAAACCTGATCTTCGAAAAGGTTATTCAAAATTCCACCAAAACTCAATTGAAGATGCGTCGGCAAGAACTGTCACTCTGGCTTTGGAGACTTGCGTTACAGAAAGAGAAACACAGGAATGGCTGTAAACATCTATGCCAGGATTTCTTCATCCCCGACTTAGAATGAGCCCCAAGAAACCTCTGGGACCAGCAAGGTGACCAGCCACTTCCATCTAAGGGAGCCCTGCAGTCACAAGGACCCATATCTGGGTCAGCTGCCATCACAACCCTGGGGCTGGCCTGGCCACTCTTTGGACAGATACTTCTAAGGGGACTTATTCTAGAAGGTTCTAACATGTCGGAAGGAAGGTGTCTGAATCTGACTCCAGCTTGGATTGGGATTCCCTGGATACTGAGCCCAGACTGCCCTGTGCTGGGTCCTGCCCTGGGAGGGCCACAGGGTGACCCGCAGTTGGCAGCAGTGGCCATGGGTGGGGTGCAGACGCCTGGGGTCCCCTCGTGGAGGCTCACTTCTTGGAGCCGCTCTGAGTGCCCTGGGCGGCGCAGCTGTAGTTCCCAACGAAGCTTCCAAAGCGCACGGCCACAGCTGTGTCGCAGTCATCCACGGTCACCACGGCCACCTTTTCTCCAGACGGCCCATGGGGCAGGCCCAGGCGGCCGATGTTGGGCTGTGGGAAGAGAAAGCAGAGAAGGCGTCAGGGTCCTCTGCCCCCAGCACCATCCCCCGTGGAGAGAGGACGGCACAGGAGGGTGGACAAGCATGTGGACAAGGGCAGGAATCTGCAGCCTCATTTCAAATTAGTTCCCCAAACCAGGTCCTAGGTTGCATGGAGTTCCCCCAAATCCACATCCTTCCCAGAACCACAGAATGTGGCCTTATTTGGAAACAGGACCATTGCAGCTGTAATTAGATAAGAGGAGGTCACACTGGAGAAGGGTGGGCCCCAATCCAAGATGACTGGTGTCCTCATAAGACGACAGATGCAGACACAAAGACCCACAGGGACCCTCCGGAGGAGCAGCCCTGCCACGCTTGACTTCAGCCATCTAGTCTGCAGAGTCACCAGAGAGTGTGTGTCTGTTGTTTAAGCAGCCTGTTTGTGGTACTTTGTTTCGGTGGCCCCAGGAAACGAATACGGCAGGCCGGGCAGTCGACATCAAGTTCCCTGCCCGGGCTAGGAGCCCATCCACCCCAGGCGCCCACAGTCACTCCTGTCCCCTGTGCTGGCCTGAGCCACCGTCCCTCAGTGCCCTGACAGCACACCCGCCCTCCCCACCTCCCACCCTCCTCCCCGCCGGCCTCATGCACAGCCTCCTGGGGGCCTGGCCCTCGCTGCCGTCCCTGGCTCCCCACCCTGGCTCCCCGCCCAGGGCTGGCTATAAGAATTCCTGCTGGAATCAGTGACCTCGGGTGAAATCTACTGCTTCTTGAGGAGGCTGCAGTTTGCCTCCCAGGAAGGAGTCCTCTTTCCCCGGCAGCCCCTCCCGGGACACTGCGCACATGCACCGGGACAGCCCTCAGACGCCTCTCCAGCGGGAGAAGCGGAGCTGATCTGCACCATCCCAGCCGGCCAAAGAACAGGACACGCGGGTTCCGGACCTGCAGAGGCAGCGGAGGGCTGCTCCGGCCGGGCAGGCAACTGAATTCTCCTTCCTCATCTGCACGACCTGGGTAACGAGACCTGCTTTCCATGGGTGGCTGGGAAGGTGGACAGGAGGACACGAGGGAAGACCACCAGGCCTCACAGCCAGCACATCACACAGTGTTCCTTCCTCCCCAGAGAACCATTTTCTCCTGGTCCCTGCAGTGTCCCTCCCTCACCCCTAAAAATGATGGGCTCAGTGCCACCACCTGATAGCTCTGGGGTCCGTCCCAGCTTATAACATGATGCAATCTTATGCTTATGATAATGTTGGAAACAGGCCATTGTAAATACAGAGAATTTAATAAAATCATCCCTAATGCCCTTTAGTACGGAAATAACTGCATAGTTCATTCAAAAACAGATCTTTGGTTTTTAACAGGAACAAAGTATCCATTTGATCAGGGACACTGGGCTGAAAGGCAGAAGACGGAACTGTTGCTAAGAGGAGCTCAGCCAGGTGGCCAAGCTCTGTGACTTCGGGGGACCCTGTTCATCCAGGCGGTGTCCCCTGGAGTTGTGCAGTGCACAGCCTGCATGGCTGTACATGACCACCCCCTCTGAGCCTTCCACTCCCCTTGTCTGACCATCTGACCTAGATAAGACCATCGCCGTACCTCAGTTTTTCTGTGTGCAAGGTAAGGATTTAATATCAGAATGCCCAGGCTCTCTGTGTTATGGGGACGTTAAAAGTGATGTCAACATAAGATAGATGACTCTCCCACACACCCTCCTCAGGAAAACCCGAGGGAGGCCCTTCCCATGCCACCTGACACCCTAGATCATGACAGTCTTTTTTATTTTTGTTTACATCAGTTGACGAAATCACAAGGTCTGACGGCTATTTCCTTAAAGATTTCACTTTTGGTTAAGCAACAGGTAGATAAGTATAGAAAACAATCTGTTTTCTGCCTCTGACAGCGGCCTGCTTTGGAAAACACTTGGAAGTGCCCATTACAGGGCGCTCAGACGTCAGGTGCAAGCCTGGGGAAAGAGCCGTCCCCGAGCTGTACGAGGCCCAGATTATCTTTACAACTTATAATTTACATTTTTGGGGATGGGTGTGAGACTTTCTGAGGAAAGATGTAAACAGCATTTATACTTGGGAAGCTTTAATGAAGCTAAGCTGCTGTTTACAAAATTGCAGTTGTAAATTGCTGCTGGTCAGCAACGGGCAGAACAGTGAGGAAAAAGAAAACTGGAGGCAAGAAACAAAAAACAATGCACATATGCCTCTAACACAGCACTTTCTGACGTGACACAACCACCGTTAGGACCTGACATCAGAGTCCGATGTTAGTGAATCACAGTGCAAGTGTGACTTTTAGGAAAACAGTCTCTGATAAACATCACCTGGCAGACATCGCTTGATTCCTTCTCCCAGACAGGTCTGCTGGCCATGAGGTCAAAAGTGATGACTTTTGGGCCGAGCCCGTGGCGCACTCGGGAGAGTGCGGCCCTGGGAGTGCAGCAGCGCTCCCGCCGCGGGTTCGGATCCTATATAGGCATGACCGGTGCACTCACAGCGCTCACTGGCTGAGCGCGGTGCGGCCGGTCTCAAAAAGGACAAAAAAAAAAAAAAAAAAAAAAATGACTTTTTTGGTCAAAGAACCAAGCTTTCTTGGATCAAGAGCCGGAAGGCCCAGCAGAGTACTGTGAGAACCTGTGAGGCTGGAGCGGCGACCACGGCATCCCGCGGTCCCAGAACAAGCAGCAAGCGGGGCCAGTAACTTAAAACGCCCACCTCCTGGCTCACGCGTGGTCGGCATCGGCAAGCGTGGGGGAAGCACGTCTAACGCTGCAGGGAGGGGGTTCCTTGAAGAGTTAAACACAGAACTACGACACACCCCAGCAGTGCCATCCCAGAGATGTACCCAAAGGAATTGAAACCGGGGCCTCAAACAAAACTAGTCCACGGAAGTTCATAGCAGCACCACTCACAATTCCCAAAAGGTGAAAACAAGCCAAGTGTCCATCAATGGATGAACAGGTAAACAAATTGTGCTCTGGCCATAAAATCAGAATATCATCCGGCCATGAAAAGGAATGAAGTGCTACATCATGCAACCACACGGATGAACCTTGAAAACACGGTGCTGAGTGACAGAAGCCAGACACAGAAGGCCACATGCTGTGTGATTCTATTGATATGGAATGTCCAGAGTAGGCAATCCATGGAGACAGGAAGCAGGTTGGTGGTGGCCGGGGCTGGCGAGAGGGCATGGGAGTGGCTGCTAAAGGGTACGTGGTTTCCTTTTGGGGTGATGAAACATTTTAGATCTAGAAGAGGTGACGGTTGCACGACATTGTGAATATACTAACTGCCACTGTAAAATTTAATTTTACATGACGTGAATGTCACCTCAATAAGAAAAAGAAAGATTCCTGGGTGTGCATCCACCACGCCCGAGCCACCTGGCCCGTCTCTACCTGGGGAGCCCTTGGGAAGATTCTTCCCATTTTCACCTGTACACCTGAGATGAAACACATTATTTAGCCTCCTGTCCAGGCTGCCATGAGCAATAATGTCAGTACGAGCGGCGAAGGCCCTCTGGGAGGTGTGGGGAGGGGCGCGGGCAGTCACACAGCTGCCTGGCGCGGGATGGGCAGGGAGACCACGACACCAGCAGGTACATTCGACTTGGGCTCAGGTCACCTGTTTTCACCAGAGGAGGACAAAGTATGTTTTAGCCGGAAGGGCGGCAGGTAGGCGGAGAAGCCAGTGGCAGAGAAACCAGGAGGTGGTGGCAGTGCCAGGCTTACTTCCAGCATGTCCACCCCCTCGGGCTTTAAAAAGAGAAAGGAGCTGCTTATTCAGCGTGCTGACATTCGACCAGAGAGCGCGCTCCACAGCTTTGCAGGCCCGCAGGTGGGAGGAACAAAGAAAAACACAGAACGAATTGCTCCCTAACATGTTGAAGACGAGTTTTCAAAGTTCGCTGCATGTTTATGCAAGAGAAGGTGGTGTGGAGGGCCCGATGGCAGTATCCGAGTTATTTCTCAATTCTTGTGCTAGAACCATGCTGGGCACAGGACAGGTGGAGGCCACCATGGTGGGGGCACCAGAGTCCCTGGTATCTCCCCCCTGGGCTGGGCTTGTCCTGTAAGGTAGCCAACCAGGCCCAAGTCCCTGCAGGAAAGCCATCGACCCCAGGCCTCCCTTCAGGGTACAGAAGGCTCACCAGTGTCCAAGCCTGGGCACTCGGGCCGAGAGAAGCAGGCACAAGATACACAAACCGGAGGTGCAAGCCAGCCAGCTGGGCCTGTGGGAGGTGACATCTACACCCCTTGGAGTTGACACTGCTCCCCCCGCCCCCATGCGGGTGGAATGGGGCCAGCGAGGGCAGACCACCACGCTCACTCTGGCTGCCATCGAGAAAAATCCCACAGAGCCGCTGCACATTTCAGGGAGGGACCTGAAAGCACCAAGCTTTGCACATCTGGGCGGATCCGATTCCTGACTCTGAAGTCGTCCCTCCGGTTTGGCCCCTCTTCATATTCCTTCAGCGTATCTTGTTCCCCGTGTGCAGGTCCCCCCCGTGGGCTTCCACTTAGACGCTCTGAAGTAGCTTGGGAGGGTTCGTGTGTGCACAAAAGCGCTTGGCCCTCACGAGGCGCTCACATTTCTCCAGCCTTTCAACCCGCTGCAGACACTCGGTGCCAGGGGGCAGGTGGGGTACGATTTCCGAGCAGGGGAAGGCGGCGTGGGGGTGCTGTGGAACCAGACACCGGGAGGGGCAGGTCTTGGGAGATGAATGGATTCACGCTCTGTGTCCTAAATGATTAACCGATGCTCATATCAAAGAATTCACAGATGGCTGGATTTTAGGAATGTTTGCAGAGAGTCCAAATGAGGTGCTGAACATTCACGATGCTGTCATTTCTCAAAAGCAAGGAGGCTCGGACATGGCTGATCGACAACTGCCCCAGGAAATGTGGGCAACAGCCCTGCCAGCTCTGGCATGGAGGTGACAAGCCCTCACTTGGTGGGCAGGGTCACAAGAAGATCCAGCTGTACATGCACA